AATAAGTCCCGAAATACATGAACTTAAGTTGACCCCGTCAACGGACTGTCCCCGACACGCAGGACTCACATGGCGATGACATGTCACGCGACGCGAATGTGCGATTGAAACAATTTTACTAAAGGGTCCGACTAACAGCGCGTTCACACAAAACACTCGATTGAGCGACAGTCGTTCTACTTTTAGAATAATGACGGCAGTTACCAGACCTCGGACAAGGCTTGTTTTGAAAGTAACAGCGGAACTACGAATATTTTCAATTATTAAATTGTAACAGTTACCAGGCTGTCATCGGAGAATTCTAAGAGCGGGAAAAGATCACACGCAACTTGGGGCGAGTCAACTACTAAATGCGGCATCGATATTTCAGGAAATAGTGCTCCGAGTTCCTACTGACAAAAAGTTCGTCGGGTGCTTCCCGCGATAAAGGAGAACACAGAGTAAGTTTTTAGAAAGATCCAGCACAACAGCAGACTGGGACAAGAAATCGGGATACACGGGATCCTAATCTGGAAAATCGAGAGGATTGAGATTTGGGGCAAAAAATCGGGATATCCCGACTAAATTGGGATGAATGGCAGGTCTGTATATATTATCCCCGTTCGTACTCCAGGTCATTCATAAATAACAACAAGAGCGCCAAGAAAGGTTATTTGAATGGGCGTAACTACTCGTAATGTCTTATCAGCTTATGAGAGGGGGTTATTCATGTGTTTGTAACACTTTATAAGTAGTTTAGAAATGAAAGATAGAGTGTTATTTTCATCATCAATTAACACACCCACGGAATTCATGGCGAAAACACACGTTTCTAGGCGCATGCGCTGTACACCAACTGTCCACACTGAGTGACCCCAGCGGCCTGCCGAGAATGTCTGACGTAATCGGTTGCTGATAAGATTCGGTTCTCGGCACAGACGCAGGACAAGAGTTTTAAAGCTTTAAGTGTGGGGATTCTGATTATATGGTCCCGGCCTAACTCCATCATAGACATTTATACACAAAATCGGAAACGAAAACGGACGTCCAGTAAATGTAAAAAAACTGACTGAGTTGCCAGGGTGAAAAGACCACAGGTAAATTTATAGAAAAGGTCCAAACTTGTTTGAGATTATTATCGGCTCTATTCTAATGTTTATTTAGTGTGCTAAGAACAATTTTGGCGCTAAAAACTGCTACAAATTCAAACCATTATTTTGTCAATTTTAAAAGGCCGGCTCTATTTCTCCGAACTTCGGGAAAATAAACTTGAACTTTATTTCTCTGAACGGTTTCCGTTTTCGAGATTTTAATAATGGAGTGGCTCGTGCGCGCGTGTGTCTGTGTGTGTGCGTGTGTGTGTGTGTGTGTGTGTGAGTGAGAGAGAGAGAGTGTGTGTGTGTAAGGTGTGAACGGAAGGGGGGGGGGAGGTGGGGGCGTATATGTGTCGAGGGATTTTTTGTGATACAGTTTTTGCTTTAGGGGTGACTAAAATGCAAAATAGGTTACTGCCAAAGTCGAGCAGTCTTGTTTTCTCGCAGCACCTTTTGAAGGCATTTTCAAATGAAGTATAGTCCGGGAACGTTGCCCCAACCACCAATTGAAGTATCTGAACATTCAGACATCTAAAAATCTCTAGCTCTAGAAATTGAATTCTATGCAAAAAATGTTTCTTCCCAGTCCTCGCAGAATGATGGAATGAAAGATGACCCCGAACTCTCGCAAATAACCCAAAAATCTGGAGAACGGAAACCGTTCGGAGCAATAGAGTTCAAGTTTCTTTTCCCGAACGTTTGGAGAAATAGTCTCTTTGTTAAAAAAATTTTTGTTTTTTAAAGACAACATCCAGTTTTGTTTCCGATTGTCACTGATTGTGTACATAATGTATAAATGTCTATGGAGTAAGGCCGGGAACACTTCTCCCGAAGAGAACCAAGTCAGTAGCCTATGTTACTACCTACAAATGATGAAATTGCCGAGGTCTACGTATTCAACTCCGGCGCATACCGCAAAGTTTTGAATGAATATCCAGTTGGAGATGCATGACATAGAGTTTCATCTAGATCTAGACACGCCGGAATTAAATGCGAGAAAGTAAACAATTGCCATCTAGAATCTAGATCTAGACTAGAGGCTTATACCATTCTATTTTCACCCGGTCTGAGAATACAACCATGGATTACTGTTTTGTTGTTCTTTCACTTTTTACCAAAATTACCTCAAAATGAGTGATTTAGCGGACGATTTTGCTGAAACCAGTGAGGAAAAAATTTCAGTTGAAGATGTCTATTTATATATGTGTGATTTCTGTTGAATGTCTTTTGAATCGGTGTCAGCTGTACACAAGGCCAAGGCATTGAGGCTCTCCTGTACAGTTGCGGTCCTGTTTGCACTAAATCACACTAGGCCTAGCACAGACTGGATATCGATACTGATTTAAATAGTCAGTATCAATGTTTTATGTTTTATCAGTTGATCTAGCCTACAAAATGAGCAGTAAAATTTCACTTGTTTTACTAGCCCTTTACCTAAAAATAAATATGGAGGGTTTCAGAGAGGCATGCCCCCCTGAATTTGACCATGATTTGATGTTTTGCAATTAGGTTTGATAGGCTATATCTCTCCATATCGGCATGTGCACATCAAAAGAGAGATTGCAATAAGCTGAAAAAGTACAAGATCATGTCAGGTTTTGTATTCTATTAAAAATACTGTGTACATTTTTGTTTTCAGATTGACCTAGATACTATTGATGTCAGCAACTTGAATCGCCAATTTCTTTTCCGGAAGGAACATGTGGGCAAATCTAAGGCAGTGGTAGGTTGATCCTGGTAGAAATTATAACCAATTATTATAATTGACAAAAATAGGTTTTTGTATGTCTTCTGAGCTGAGTGCCAAAAATATAACCTTTCTTCAGTCATCTCTGCAGGTTTGGCTGACATTACCATTACATACACTTAATCGTCACAGTTTCCTTCTGTTTTTAAGCACAAGGGGGCTATCCTGAAAAATGCTGTTTTGAGAAAATCGAAGGTAAAGTTTTTGCCCCTTGTTCAGTTTCTTTAAAAGACAAGGAGAGCTTTCTCTATAACCAAACAAATATACACACTAATGAAACCAAACTTCTCCAATAGGTAGGGCAATGCCCACTTTTGGTTTAGGTCAAGATTTCATGAAGCCTCCAAAATCTGGGTTAGCCTGCTTGTCCTTAAGAATGACCAATTATACATTATCCTATCATCATCATTGCCTTTCTCACCCTGGGTCAGGATATAGTCCACGAACAAACACTTTCCACCTTTCCCTATCCTGGGCTAGTTGCTTGATGTCACTCCATGTCATCCCACTTTTTTGTACCTCCATTTCTGTGACTGTGGTCCTGTTAAGGTCATGACATGCTACAGAAGAGGCTACTTTTAATATCCAGTGGGCACTGTAGAAAGTTTCGTCAGCACCTCCACCCCCCACCCCCCACTTTTCAGGGTATTTTTCATTTTGTGTCATCATGGTTGTGTTCGAAAGATATTTGATATTTTGCAGAGATTCGTAGTAAAATATGAATAAAGTGGCATTTTTTCATCATTAGCATGCAGCATGAGTCAAATTGAATCTTCTGAATGGTTGTTTGCCCAAATTTTCATGAAAGAAATTAAGATATGGAAACGGAAAGTGTTTTATTTTTTTCGGACATAACTATGATGACACAAATGCTGTATGTTTAATTTTAAAAAACGTGTCATCATAGTTATGTCCAAAAGAATTTGACTTGATTTTATGTAAATGCCAGTTATACAGATTAGCATATGCCATCTGTAGGTTTGTAGATACATGTTTTTGTAGAAGATATTCATGAATGGAAAAATTCAAGTAAAAACGAAATATTAAGAACTTTATCATCAACTCACTGTGCTACATTGTAGGTACCTACCTATTCGCAAAGCTCATTTATATAAAAATATTTATAAAAATTATCCGTTAGTAACATCAATGTGTATTTCACAACAGCGGAATGGACAAAATCCTCTTGTTGAAAAAAAAAATGGGGTTAAAGAATGCCTTCATGAAAAGATCATCATCTTCTGATGGCTTCTTTCCTGCAAAATACTGCTTTAGGAGCTTTGAAAAGATGAAAGTTTGGCAGACAAAGGACAGGAGGACTATGTCATGTGGACGATGTGGTGATGCCTTCTGCCCATGCTTCTATTATGGGTTAAAATCTTTTATCAGATTGGCTGAGTCAGGTGTAACATTGTTTTAGAGAATGATGGTAAAATGTTCAGGTCTCTTTCGTTCAACAGCTATGGTGTCCATTGAGCCAACTCTTTTACAATTTCAGGAATAATAGATTTAAGAATGTCAAGAGCAATGGCATTCTCTTACTTTCAGCCGCCTCCTCTTTTACAGGAAGCCTTTTTTCTGGTTTGTCTTCCAGATCCACAGTCCATGAACACAGTACACTTATTTTTTACTCATTACATTTTCACCCTTCACAGCAACAAAATAGATTGGCATGTAAAAATTGTGACTCCATGCACTACTACTATGACCATACCTCTGTGAGGGTAACCATGTTGGACAATTCATGGTGGATACATTCATTCTGTTGTGCAACTGGTACTTTGGCAGTCTTGTTTGGTATGTGCTGCCTTTTGCCTCCCATTTACAGGCTAAAAAGCTGTTTTAAAGGCTTTAGGTGGACCATTTCATGTTCATATTACTTTTTGAATAGCCTTTGTATGAACTGGACTCATGGAAACTTTCAATCATTCAATATTGTTTTAGCGCATTTACATAACACAATGTGGCACCATTACTCCGTATTAAGTATGGAATTGTACACTTTAGGGAAAATTTAAGGTCATGAAGATTTCAATCTAATGCTAAAAGATATCTTTTCAGCAAATAAGTTTCCATCCCCCCTTTGTCTTACTAGTGTCAAATATATGTCCTTCCTGTCTATGATCTAACCTGAAGCTTGTAAGCATTGTCTGGTTTTGTCTGTCAAGCAGCATCTTCTTCTAATCAAATTTATATGCAGTCAAACCTGTGTAAGACGGCCACCCATTGTCAAGGAGAAAAGTGGCCGTATAAGACAGGTGGCCATCTTAGGCAGGACTGATCAAGATGAAGAAAACCAACAATTCCCATCTGAGGTCCCAATTGAAAGTAGCCGCATTGTGGTTGTTTTTATTGTGTTGTTGTTGGTTTGACTTTTGTTTGTAATTTTTATTTTGTTACTGATTTTGCACAAGGGTGAAAATAAAACGAAATATATCAGACGAGGAAGATCGAGTGCCATGTTATAACAAACACATAGGTCGCCACCACTCGGAAAACGAGCGACACTTCTGTCGCAAGTTCACTTCAACGTCCATTGTTACAAACTGGGTAAACAGTGACCACTCATCTCACTTACAATTTGTGTATGAGTTCTGGGCGGGGCTTATGGGTTGTGAGGGATCACAAGCTTACCTCACCGGTAGCTGAAAATTGGTAGCTATTGGTCAACAGTGGGAGGGGGCCCATGCAACATGATCGGTTGGAGGGACTACCTAACAACAACGACAGGTGATTGAATTATGACGGCTCGCCCACAACGCCAGGGACCAGTGCACAATGTATGACAAAACGTAATGGAGTCACTAAGGTGGCCGTCTAAGACAGGTGTTATTGCTTAGTGTGATAGGGGTTGTGTGTTAAAATATGGTGGCCGCGGCCGCGTTGGACAGGTGCCCGTTTTACATAATTAAATTTATAGAGAAAAAATGCAAGGGGGGAACTGGAAAGTGGCCGTTTGTACAGGGGGCCGCCTTATAGAGATGGCCATCAGTGCAGGTTTGACTGTATTTATGTGGTTGCATAGACATCTGAGTCTGTAGAAGTTTGTTTTCTTATTTATATTGTTTGTTTTCTCTTTTTGACATAAGTGTGTTTTTTTGATGATTCTTGTGCAAAACAAGTGTTATATTTTTTATTTCAGACAGATGGAATAATCGATAAAAGTAGGCTTCGGCTGCCACCCTGGCAAAATTCAAAATTTCCTACCCTCAGAAAAATTTTAATATGTGTCCCGCATGCTCATATGACCTTATGCAGTTGCGAGCACTGTAAAACACTTACAAAAACAAACGAACAGATGAAATTCTGATGTGATTGTTCAGCAAGAAAAATGGTAACAGCTATATATACAAAAATACTTGCTCTGAATATGTCACAATTGAATTATCCATAACTGCAACTATGTTCCTTGTTTTCAGGTTGCAAAAGAGAGTGCACTGAAATTCAATCCCAATGCCAAGATTACTGCTCATCACAATAGTATTTTCAGGTAAGAATCGAGTCTTGCTTTTTGTTCCTTTTAAGTCTTGTGTTCCTTGTTATGTGAAAGACTGAATATTTGGTTTTTGGACAGAAATGGCTTAAAGTCATCAAGACATTACTAGGAGCAGATTGTGATGTTAACTTTGTACCAGTTATGTGTAAGATCCAGATTGAAAAAACCCCCAACTTAACGAGTCCAAGAACTGACCCAAATTTCAAATAGATTTTAAAAATACAAATCAAGAATCAAAAGAAAAGTTTCTTTATTGATGTAAGTAAAAAAATTCAAACATAAATTCAAAACATAACTAAATCTGAAAAATTATGGGAACAAATTTTGATGGAAGATTCAATGAAAGAAACTATGGAAGAAAATATCCTTCAAACCCAAGAAAGCAAATTAAAAAAAATGGAAACAGAAGCAATTGTTGAAAAGTATAAGATAATAAGGCTTTTAAGAAGGAAATAGGTACAAAATGTGCCGGATATTGAAAATAATCAGCTTCATAAAACTGAAAAGGATTTTAAAAAGAATTTCCAACCAAATTTTTTTTCCAATTTTATATTTTGATATTCTAAACAAAATTATACAGGCACTTGGATATCATGAACAGGAAAAAAGTTATACAGTAGTCTCCGCCTAAACGCACGCCATACAAAAGCATGCTCCGCTCAAACGCACGCTTTAGTCATCTGACAGGTTTTTTACTATATGATTTAGACGTACAAACGCACGGTCACCCCCTCTAAACGCACGCTCCGATCTGCGAAACACGCCGACATGTTAAGTTAAAGCTTGACAGGGTTAAATTTTCACTACAACCTATACAGCCTGCATAACACAAGCCTAGAAAACCGGATATCTGGTGAGCGTGCCCCTCACGCCGAACAAAGAGAATGATGGACAGCGTTTTCACACCCAACTTTCCACTGACACATAGGTCTAGGACTGGTCGGTGAAAAGTTGGGGGGTTGGGGGAATGAAATGTCTTTGGATTGGTCACTGGAAATGTATTTTGAGAGAAGGTTTCTGACTGGTGTTTGAGTGACTGCATATAATGTTTAATTAGACGTTACACTTAGGCCTGATGCGCGACACGCATAAATGCCGTAAACACTTGACAGGCCTCTATACTATAGGATTAAAGTTAAAGATTATATCTAGCCAAGTAAGCATAATCAGCTGCCCTCGAAGAACTTTAAGACGTACTTTTTCAACGAATCACAAGAGAAATGTTTCTCTGAATGTAAAGATCTATGATTCAAATGTCGTCCATGAATTTACGGTTGGGGGTGTTAACTTGGAAAGCCACGTGGCTGGGCCGTCGTCTCTATGACTATCACCAACAGTTTCCTCTTAGGCTCTGTTCCCGACATTTTATAGTGCATTCATTACTTAGGCAGTCGGGGAATTCCTTCACAAAACAGTCACGTGTCGTCACATTATCTGCCAAAATGACACCCTCCCCACAAGGGAGATCACTAGAGTAATAACGAATTGAGATGACTGTGTCCCTTCCTCCCTTTGCAAAGGTTCATGTAAACGCACGCTCCGTATAAACACACGCTAAGGAGCCCTCCCGAACATCATGCGTTTAGGCGGAGACTTCTGTAGTCAGAAAGCCTACCTCCCCCTTTCTACTTCTGAAAATGAATGTGATCACACAATTATCTATAACTGAGTTATAAATCTTAAATATTCATCTGTCCTTCTGAACAACATTATGGTAGGAACGGCAAATTTTGAAAATATTAGAATCAAATTTTAAAAGTAGGCAAGAGGAAAAGAATAAAAATGGAAGATTATGAGGAAACAGGGTTGGTGATTTTAAAATTTTTTCTAATACAAATTTAAAAAATCAATTAAAAAAAATTTAAATCAGATTTT